TTGCTTTCGGCGTAACACACCAGCTTCGCAGGCACGCAGCGCGGCGGCAGCTGGCTATATTACACCGATCGACTTGTTACACCTAACCCTTGAACTTCTAGCTCTAGACATTGTTTAAAGCTATCTTTCTTTCTATTGACAATGCCCCTACTGTACTTGGTGACAGTGAGTTCCACTCTGCGATAGTTCTAGGAAAGAATGAATTCTTGAACACCTCAATCCTTGGTTGATAACTCTGGTACTTGAATGCATGGCTATTTCTTGTTCTCTTCTGGGCTGGTATTAGGTACTTAGTAGTTGGGACATCCACCAGTTTATTAGTCATTTTGTACATCATGCATAGTCTGGATATCTTTCTTCTGTCTTCCAGTGATGAGGTCTACTGTAGGTTTCTTGTCATTTCCGTGACACTAGCACCTCTTTCATAGTTGTTTCTTCTGGAAGCTGTGTTCTGACCTGAAATCTTTATTATCTTTTTTCCGGTTTCGTCTCCTTGCAATTGAGTTCTAGTCCAGTTTTAGTCTACGGTAGCTCTTGTATCTTTTCTCCTACATGTACAAACAATTATCTTGTAGTGTGTTATGAAAGATATAACAATTACAGAAGAATATTTCGAACTACTTTACTTAAAGTATAAATATTACCTACCCATTCTAAGGGCATGACTCCCGACGCACTTGTCTCCAAAGAGCCATTTATGTAGAGAGACAGCTGGCAACCTATGGGAAGATATTGGCACCGCTTTAATTAAAAAAAACGTATCTGACAACGGTCTTGCTTTTCGCTAAAGAGAAAAAAACATTCCGACAAAAATAATTTTTCTATTAATCAATACACAACAAAACCGTAACAAGGACATGTGTAGCGCTGCACTCAAGTTTATAACTTTATCTTATAACTATAACTTTTAACAACTTTCAAAGACTCTCTGTGAGTGGGACTTGAGTGGCAAATGTTTTTATGTTTGTAATGTATGTTGAGTTGAACTGTAATATATTTTCTTATTGTGTGTTTTCCCAAATATTGTTTATTTTACCCCATGCAGAGATACCTGAAAACCAGGTCAGTAGACCTGAGCGTATTACTCTGGTAAAATAAATGAATGAAATGACTTATTCTAACAGCGCCAAACAGCAAAATACAATTAACATATAAATACACAGAGTTGACATAAAAGTGCGCCACTCAACATTAAACAAGTAAAATCTGAGATTTTATACCTCCGGGCTTTTTAACAAGGGTTTTAAACAAAGAATTTATCGAGACCGGACACCCCTCTGTGCGAGGGGTCACCTTCGTGGACGAGACCGACAATACCTAATACACGCCAAAGGTCAACGGTCGCGACCACTTTCACGCTCAAAGGGGTGTTCTGGGGCCACCAAAAGGCGCCACTTTCACGCCCGAAAACACATATACAATAAAAACAAAAGAACGTGCATCATCTGCAGCCCAATAGCAAAACATATACCGAGTCTCAAAAGAATTCGTCCACCCAAACGCGAGAAAGAGCTGCGAACATGAAAATCTAAATCTCTCACAAAACCCTTCCGCGGAAGGATGTCTCCTCCCCCGGAGGTAATAATACCAGGTTGTAAAAAATGTTATTGAACAGGAGTGACTTCTATGACTGGTTGACGAGAAAGACTTCGCAGTCAATCTAATATAATAAGGATTACATATTGACCTTCTATATCTGATTGGCGGCAGCATTATCATTTGAGTGCATGCTTACCTTGTGCGTCGTACAAAAGCGTGACGTGACACCAATATTCTGTGGGGATATCCGTGTTCGATTGAACAACGCCGGTCCCAAGTTTTCCGTGTAGAAAACTTTAAAAACAAAAACAACGATTATGGCTTACATGTATCTGCAAAAAAATTACATGTTATTTAAGTGTACCAAACTGCAATATCTTTAGTAAATGTAACTTTTCATGTTACTTCCCACGTTAGCATAATTCTCTGTATGACACCAGGTGCGCATCGAATGTTGCAAGATTTCAAAAACATCATAACATTAAACCTCCTAATATCATTCTTTTTTATCACGGGTCGAGATCGGAGAAACCAGGACTCGAAATGAGCAAGAAAGCATCAGTCTTTCCGGGAATGGGGAAATAACAAAATACTCGCAAACTTTTTTGACTTATTTGTTGACATTGTCATCGAAAATGAAACCATTAGAATTAAAAACAAAAGCACTGAACGCATCTCCAAAACAAAATATCTGAGCATTACGTAATAACATTACGTCAATGTGGTGTTTTAATTCACCAATGTGCAGCATCGTACAGCTTCTTTTATTTTCCTTGATTTCGCCTTAGAAACATTTAATGTAAACAATTCATATCAGAGTTTAACTTGATGACAGAATATCTTTAATTGTTTGGGGCCCGGGGATGGCTTTTGGGGTCGTGGAGTTGCTGTACTGGCCATGATCATGAAGTACCCTGGAACTTTCCATCGTCTACGTGTCTTTTGTTCAACTTTTGTTCAACTATATCCAGTCAAATGTAAGATAATAGTTGCTTAGTAACATTTACATAAACAGAAATACTGACGAACAAGTTCAATAATTAATTAAGCAGCCTGGACTTTGCGGTTGTGGTTTGAGTAGTCTTCTAGTTTTTGGCTACGTTTTTTTTATTCCAACATGTAATCACCAGACGCAGAGACGACACACTCAAGTTTCTTCAACTTATATTATTAATGCCGCCACCAACACAGGGGACAAATACATTACAGTACAATACTCATTTACATCTGAGCGAAGTGAGGAAAGTCGTGTAAAGTGCCTTTCCCAAGGGCACAAGATCGGTGGCATGTCAGGACTCGAACCCGGGACTCTTAGTTCCGAGTCGCCACACGACCCCACACCGACGTTTTCTTACCCGTTCTCTAAGAACAAGCAGAGCCTGTTATCAAGAGTACAGATCACCGGCATCCTGACGTCGGCATCCTCACCGGTCAGACGAATCCACGACTCTATCGTGAAGCTACAAAAGGAATATAAAGTAAAAAGATGTAAAAAGTAAGAAGAGCTAGAAGGGTAACATTTGCCAAGCAAATGCATAATGTTTACCTTCGCAGTCTGCTCTATTAATTCTTCATTCTCAAACACGTTCATATACATGGTGGCGGGAGTCTAAATTACTCCAGCTATAAAATTGAACATGATGTAACCCAACACCAGTTACCATGGTGAGGGAGGCTGGTTCAGGTCATTGACCTTATGTGTTTGGAGAAGAGGAAACTGAGAAAAAACAATGTTTTCCTTCGGTAAACATAACAGAACAGCTGGCCAGACAGGCCAAAGACCGCCAGATGGGGGCATTTTTTTGTGACTCGCATGCGTGTAAAAGATGACAGCAATTGTGTAAATATTTGATTCCCATGTTCGAAATGAATCATGGGTATAAGGGTTCAAGATTCCTATAGGAATAGCATTTTTTTCCAAAAGAACGAACGAAAGTTGCGTAACAAACAGGTGTGTGATATAGAAGAAAAAACATACATCATTCCATATAACGTATAGTGAATAAAGAAACGAGTACCTGTCATCTAACTCTAATGCGATGACGGATGTGAGCTCGACATAGTCATCTTTCCCATCGAAATGAATAGCCTGGTTTACTCTGAAATACAAGTAAAGACGTCGTCTTTCCACTGTTTGATTTTGATGTTGATTACTTTATGTACATTACTCTATGATTTAAACTATTTTAAAAGAAATGATGATTTCTTTCATTAATTACATTCTTGATGTTTGATGTTTATTTATTCGCATATAATCAAAGAGAAATAAAATGAACATATTACAGTAAAATAGGATATGCAGGGGAAAGACAAAAAGCCATAAAACCAGTTAGGCTACTGATTCTATATATTACAGCTTCAACATCAGCTATCAAGGATATGTGGGGGCCACCAATCATAGACTTGTTACTAATTTTATGGCTCCGAAGAAAAAAAAATCCCTCAACTTTTACCTTGCAGTTACATTACTGTATGATTTGAATTATTTCAAAAGAAATGATGATTTCTTTCATTAATTACATTCTTCTTAACCCTCAAACACCCAAACTTTGTTTGTGTCGTTAATGCCCGAACGGGATCCAAATGGACCCCATTTGGTTTCTTTCAAATTTATATTCTTATAATTTATATAAGTGATCTTTGCGCATATATTGGTTAAACATAGTAAGAGGTATATTTTGGCATGATTAAGTGTTTAAAAATTCCAGCTCATTATCATAATTTATGCAAAAATAGGATGAGGCCTGCAGGCATTAACATGGGGTTGACCTTTGACCTCATATGATTGTCAATTGTCAAACCTCTGAAAACCTGATGAAATTAATTCTGAGGTTGAGGTTACTTGGCAAACTGCATAATATTAAAGCAATAATGCTTCCTTGAAGACATATTGAGGACATCCGAACAATTTTGTGTGTAGGAAAGTGCAAATACATGGCTGGGGTCCGTTTGGACCCCAGACGGTCTTACATAAGACTTCCGTTGTTATTTTTACAAATTTGTGCCGATCTCCAAAAAATTTAGGAGAACTTGTAGAAGAGGTTTATTGACAAAGTCACGAGAGGAATTTTTTTTCGAATGAAAAAATTTCAAATAGCACGTAAAAATATACGCCTGGGGTCCAAATGGACCCCGTTCAGGTGTGTCTTCTCGTTCATTGTTTTTCGCTAGCTATAGTGTTATACATTACTAATTGCGTAGTGCTGGGTAAACAAAATGATCTGGATACTCACTTCTCTCCGCAAGCAATTTGCAGGTTGGACCAGACAACCCCCGTCTGGTTGTACTGGAACACCCCCAGTCGACCCCCCAGGATGGTAGTGTCGTACACGTCCCCAGAATCCGTCAGAAGGCACCGATTACTCGATACCGTAACCCTGGTAAGACAGTAAGTAACAACATAGCAATTTAGACTTTTAAAACTCTTGTCCTGCGGGGCAGATATATATATATATATATATATATACAGTCGGTTGCACATACAGTACCATATATATAGTGACTAGTATATGTACGATTTGGGGAGCACGTCGGCAGAACGTACTGCACCTGCGCAAAACCCGTAATGTATTATACATACCACTTCGGCAGAACGTCTAAGGTTGTATTCGCTCATATAAGGTTAGCATTCCTACAGTAGTTTTCAAATGTTATGTTGGAAAAAATATCGTCTGCAACAGGGAAAATTCTGATGCAACGTTGACTAAAAATCCAACGAAAACAGCGAAAATCCAGGGTTCTGCGCAGGCGCAGTACGTTCTGCCGACGTGCTGATTTGGGGGACTGTTTCTTGTGCAACGCATCACACCGCAGCGAAAAGCAACGAAAGCGGAAGTAACTACGCCGCCGCAGGGCAAAAAAGTCAAGGGTCTGTGACCTGATTAAGACTTCAAATTATTTGAAAATATTGTGTAAAAAAAATGCCAGCAGGAAAAAGGGTTTAAAGCATTTTCCGACGAAAAACATAATCATGCTGGCTTTTTTTAATGAATCAGGTACTGTGAAGACTTGTGTTCGATTTCCAAACTTTTGGCCATAGCTCAGGTACTATTTGTTCATTTTCTAATGGGCAAAGGTCAGTAATAGCGCAGGTGCAGAGGGCCCAGTTTTAGTATATAGAGATTGCAATGTAATGTAGAGTGTAAAGAAATCTTTTTCTAGGGAAATGTTGTTGATTTGGACTTGGATGTTATAGGTAAGGGTTGTAGTATTTTCATTTTGGTGAAAAAACAGACTTGCAGCCATGCTTGTGTTGTCTGGCTGGCTGAAGATGATATAGGTTTACATGCGGTCATCAGCTGTCCAGAGAGGTCAGGGGTCACTTCTCAATGTTTGGGTACAATTCTCGCATGGTTTAGGTGCGTAGGATTTTTTCATTTTTTGGGAATGGAGACTTGAGAGGTTGGCCTACCCTGCCAATGTATGTTCTTCAAAGCCTAAAACTCATGTATATGAATGTTGACCACGTTGTTTTGACATAATTCCCATATATTAACATAGGAAAGCCCTATTACTGTGCTGTGCCCTAATGGGATACACGGAGAGGATGTAACAAAACTGACAGACAAGTCTTTTCAAATCCATAAACTGATTATATCCTTACCGTATCAAACCAACAGATGGTCTGTGCATCAGTTGGAAGGTGTATGGAGTGCGATGTATCCATCCGCGCATGTCTGGGTCGTGCCACAGCATTGTCACGTGGTCTGTCGTGTCGTGTGTGTGCCACAAAGCGTCAGCAAGTGTGGGACTGGGACCAGTGCTGGAGTCTACTACCTGCACCACAAAGATGATAAGAAACTTCAACTCCGTTCCAAATTTCAATGGAAAATGTTAAGCTGAAAACCTTAGTAAACACGTGGATACTAGTAACTAGAAATGTAACATTTGCAAAGCAATAATGTTTACCTTCGCTTAATCGGCTCTGTTAATTCTTACTCAAACACATTCATATACATGTACATGGTGACAGGAGTCTAAAATCCCTCTTGCTATAAAATTGCAACATGATGTAACCCAACACTAATTACCATGGTTACAGACCGTCTGGCCCAGGTCATTGACCTTTATGTGTTTGGAGAAGAGGAAACTGAGCAAAAACAATATGTTTTCCTTCGATAAACATAATTATTACGCAAAACGACAGGTGTAATGGAGTCCTACCTTAATCTGTAGTCCTTTAATGCCACCATAGGTGGCGCTGCTTTCTGCATTTTCGTTCTCGTGTTTCCAGATGACGACATAAAACTTCCTGTTACTCTGATAACCGAACACGAAGCCGATGTAGTCGTTCCCCGAGTCCTCATTGACGAACATTGTACCCGTTAGGTTCACCGGTCCAAAACGGTCATGCCCTACACATACAGAAGACCAGAGTTTGTATGTCTCAATTTGATATTGAATTATGCTGCTTAGGCCACACCGATTTAATTTTATGGATGACATCCGCGCGCGCATTGATTTTCGCCCGATCTCAACAACAAAAAACAAAAAATCACGTCTTCCGAGGCTCTGGACTGGCTTTAGGCCTGGGTAGTCCATGGTGAGGATAACTCTGGAGGACGGCACCCAGGCTACCGAAGCCCCAAGACTCAAGAACTCAGTACATACATGTACGTACAGTGTTGATTCATAAATTCCGCAAAAATCCAGCATGTGTCGGCCTGTCGTATACGTCGCTATGTAATGCGCCAAATTCACAATACCAGCTTTGCATTCCTGTGGTTTAGTACCATTTTTATTTTTGGACGGATTTTTCTTTTTTTCGCCCGCACGCACTAGTTTGGGGGTCTTCAGAGGATGTCATCCATAAAATTAAATCGGTGTGGCCTTACAAGTATTTTGTAATCTTGTTTTCAGCTAGATACAAAACAATTGTCATACATGCTTACCTATCAGTACAACCGGGTCCTCTGTGTGGGTTTGGGTTATGAGTCTTATTTCCCGCCCCTGTAAAGAAAAATAGAAGAAACTAGAGTTCCCCGATCTCATACCTTCGCCAAATGATGTTAATCTTTATGACTGACAAATTATAGATTAGATTACCCCCCCCCCGATTTAAGAAATAGCAACCTAATTTTCATGAATTATATCATTTTACCATAATCTCAACAAAAAAACAGTCTTATATTAACGAACAATGCATTCTAGCATTTCCTAATAAATTATGCAAATGAGGTCCTGATTTGAATAAATTATGTTTAATGATGTTCACCTCAATTTAACTTTCAAATACCACAAGTATGAAATTCCAGGCAGTTATCATTACATAATTATAAAATTTTCTCATTAATTATGCAAATTAGGTCATTATTAACATAATCAATATCTTCCTGTGTTTCTCTCGTTGTCAATTACCAATGTCACAAGCTTTAATTGTCCTATCATGGAATGCAGCTGATTTATAGAATTTCCCCATAAATTATGCAAATTATATCCATATTTGCATAATTGTCACATAATTATATGAAGGATCACGTAAGCTACCTACATACCAAAAATCACGACGATCCGTCAACCGGTTCTTGAGTTATCCCCTTTTGAATATTTTCAAGAATATATCGCTGCAGTTCCAGAGCAAGCCGCTAGGGGGCCTAAACTCACGTCACTTCTTTCCCAGCACAAGAGCTACCTACCCTCTAAATTTCATCACCATAGCATGTCTAGATCATGAGATATCAAAACCGGAAGTTCAGCTGCAGTACCATAACAAGCCGCTAGGGGGTCCAAAATCTAATCATTTTGAGGTCTCATCAAGACCTACCCACCTACCAAGTATTAAGACAATCCATCAAGGCCTTCTCAAGTTATCGTGTTGACAGACAGACAGACAGACAGACACACACACACACACACACACACATACACGAACGCCCCTGAAAACATAACCTTCTTGGCGAATTCTTGTGTTACTTTATGACATAACATCAACTTGTTTCCACAAAAATGTAAAACAAATTCTTATCAATTAAATTTGTTGCAACAACGAACCAAAGCCACTTTCACGATTTTCTGAAAACTAGACTATTTCAATCTTACGTCATCAACGACAGCCCAGGTTGGTGCAGCTCCTCCGGCAAGGTTTACTGACACGTGACGTGTGAAGCTCGTCTCGTGATAGTTGGAGTGCTTGGGGCAAACGTCATCAACATCCGGGACACCGTCGCCATCGTAATCGTACTCACACGCATCCCCTACATGGTTGCCTGAAATGATAATCATCGTCAGAAAGAGCGTGCAACTCTTCATTTGAACTGTCTGACTCGCCGTAATGCGTATTGTACTTTGCTGTTTTTAGAATATTAAAATGATAAAATATTTGTTATCATAAAGCCAGAAGACGTCGACCAATCAGAAGGCTCCATTTCCCATCGGTTATCAGGCCGTAATTTCAATTTGACAAAAGTGGTCGGTTATTGGAATAACCACCTCAAAAACCACTTCGTTCGCTACGCTCACTTGGTGGTTTATTCGTTGGCTATCGTACCTGTCCAGGGATTATCTCACCATATACACCTCGGGGTGGGGTATTAAGCCTTAATTGAACTAATACAAAGAAATAAATACCTAATTCTATTCTCAATATTAATGTTAACGACTAGTGTGTTCTACTATTTAATATCTCATCACCGGGTGGGACTGGACTGGTTTATTGTGGTAGCTTCTAAACCATATTGTAATATTTTTGAAAGTGTTTTTCCATAATGCCACATTTATTTTAACATTCCGTGTCATCTTATTCCTCTGTTGTTTATGTTTCTTGACTTGAGTACGCCATTACTTTGTACTTTGTCATATAAAGACTATATTGATGCGAATAACGGGTATTATGATGACGAACATATTATTTGGGCGTTAAAAAGCTCTACCTTTAAGCCAAGGGTGAAGACGTGCATTAGGTTGCTGTTAACAACACTTTCACAATTTTCACATTTTGCACCGTTATATCTCAGAATGACTGACATTACTTTCTGAAATGCTTTGATATCTTCAAAGGATCTACTTGAATGGACACCCCACTTAATCCCTTACCAGTAGGTATCGAATCAGGATGTTAATCAACTCAGGACGTATGATCCAAACGCAGAATTGTTACATCAAACCCGTCCGATGTTACCTCATGGGAAATGCACTTTACAGGACTTTCCTCACTTCACTTAGGTGTAAATGAGTACCTAGCTTCGGCTAGGGACGTCCCTCGGATAAGACGTTAAATGGAGGTCCCGTGTTAAAGAACCCACCACACTTATCGAAAAAGACTAGGGGGCCTTCCCGGTGTGAGTGGATCAAAACCACTGTAAATACAGTCTAGTGTACATCTTAGTCTTTATTATTATTATTATTTATTATTCTTTACTATTCAAAACAGTGGTCAGCATGGCAGCTGTACATAAAACAAAGAATTTAGACCGCTGAATTGTGCTGACCTTATACATAGAAATACAAGGTGGGTATGAATAGAACATACAGATTCACGACAATTACAATATGCACAACACATAAAAACTAAGTCTGTATTTGACTGTTATAGAGTCTGATTGAGCGATGCATAAATGAACTGCAGTCTGGAGGTTCTTGCCATGGGAACCCTGAGTCCTCCCGCGTTCCTTAAGGACCTCCCCGTGCTCATCAACCCCTCCACCAAGTCTTACGTACTGTGCTTGGAGTCCTGAGCCTATTGACGTAATAACGACGAAGAAGACACATTTCCCTTTACAAGTAATAGAAGACACATACCGTTTGTATCTTCCCACCCAGGATTTGGGATGTAGGGACAGTTGTCTCGGTCGTTCGGCATAGCGTCATTATCAATGTCGTCATCACATGCGTCACCTACATGTATTATGATCAACACAGGTTCATGTACGACTTTTATGTGTTTAGATAGACGAACACTAATGATGCACTTGAATGACTATAGGATTATACGAAATTGCCAACTGTCAGTGCCTTTATAGGCAAAAAAATTTACTTCACTTTCACTTTATTTATTTTACCAGTAATTACAACTTAGGTCATTTCGGCCTGCTTTTCAGGTAATCCTGGATATACATAAAAAGTACACACAACGAATACACAGTACATAAACAATTAACAAATAGAACATCCAGAATATCAACTACATCAAGTTCTGTTCCTAATGATCTGTTTAAAAGTCCTGAGACTAAGGAGCTGTCGTTGCTGTAGCGGAACGTGTTCCACAGGTAAGGTCCATGGTACTGTAAACTGTCCCGGTAAAGCTTTGGTCCCAATTGCGCCGGTGCCCGTCGGGGATGTAGCCCCGGCCGGCCCCGGTCGGGCTCTGGAGCCTGGTGGGCACCGGTTGTTGTGGTCACAATTAAAAGTTTGCTTCAGTAGCATTTTGTCACCCTTATTGGGCGGTCTCCGGCAGGCACCCGGCAGGTACCCGGCAGCTTCTCTGACGATGTATTGTACTGACCCACTTAATACAGAGTTCACGCTTTTGTTGTGATCATCTGATCTGACGTCACACATTTGACATGGTCTTACGAAGTACACACCCTTATTGTGTGTATCTGGTCTGTGACGTATCAAAATTAGTCCCGGTGGACTGCCGGCAACCGAGGGAGTACCTCTCGGTGTTCTCACGACTCGGTCACGGCGTCTTTTTGTCAGCGGGACCCGGGTAAAATTTAAGTCAGAATTAAATTATTCTCGGGTCCCCGCCGGGCCAAAAAATAGCCCGGTCGCCGCGGGGTGTCCCACCAGGCCACGTAGGGGTCACGCCCGAAAGTGCCAAAAAAACAGCTCGGGAACTACCCGGCAGGGCTCCTTTCTCCAATTGGGACCAAAGCTTATGCAGTGACTCTTGCCGGTGGAGTAGGTGCATCTTCATAACATTTGTGGAAGACGATATATCATAACAATCAGGTTCGTGCCTACATGTGAATTCTCCGTGCCTACATGTTCTGGGTTGTCGTGTTTTATACAATGAAACTGAGCTAACGAACCGATGCCGTCGCTGTCAGTTTCTGTCTGCTCCGCATTTGGAATGTCTAAACAGTTGTCTACTGTGTCGATAACACTGTCGCCATCCCTGGGGAGATAGAACAAGGAGCTTTGTCAGACAAAAATTCACCATCGTTTATTAGATTCATAAATACTGCAAAACTTGCAGAAAACAATTATATATTTTCCATGCGCATTTATCATCATGTCAAATGTTATTGTCAATAAAAATAGAATGTGAACTGTATTGCAAAGAGAGAAATGAACTGTTGTTTGTACAACACCTATTCCGCTATTTCACGCACTTAAGTAGTGTAGAAAAATTCATATTCCTTATGCGACTAGACAAACCACCCATCGAAAAACAGATCTGTACCTTTATCTCTACAATAACTGAAAAGCGAGGAGAAGTTGAGTTTATATAACGATAGTTAGTTGATTTTGTATCTGTTAACAGTGTCCATTCATCTTGTTTTGTTGTGACCTGTACTTAGCCAAGTGTGGCAGAAATGTGCAGTAAAGGTCTTTATTCATGATAATAAAATTAAAGTTTTGAACGGTTGCCATGTATACACATACTTGTCGCTTCCGTCGCAGGCGTCCCCATACCCGTCCATGTCGGAGTCCTGTTGGTTAGCATTACTGATGTTTGGACAGTTGTCAAATGCGTCTCCAACACAGTCACCGTCTGTGTCAGACTGTGTGTCGTTCAGAAGTGGGCATGGGTCTGACGTATCCAGCACACCTGTGGAAAATCCAATCCCACGAACTAGTTTCCTTCTCCTGAAGAGGTTATGTTTTCGGTTTGGCTATGGTTAAGTGTGCGTCTGAATGTCTGTCAACATCATAACTCGAGCAGTTGTGAATGTTCGTGATATTTGGTAGGTAAATAGCCATTGCATGAAGGTCAGGTGGTTCACCTGGCGTTTTCCAACTGTACTGCATGGGGCTTTTTATGCATTTGTTGTTTGCACGTGTACAACATAACTCGAGAAGCTGTAAATGGTGTTAATGATATTTGGTAGGTCATTATTAGCGGTTGTGGAAACAAAGTTCGACAATGGTTCACCTGTCGTGTTCCTATGTTGTAACAGCAGGTTGTGTTTGTGTTTTTGTATGTGTATAACATAACTCAAGAATATGTGGATGGATGTTGGTGATATTTAGTGGATAGGTAGGGGCAGCAAAGACGAAGGTCAATTTTGACAACGGGCTTTCTGAAAATGCCAGGTTCATGAATTTTAAGTAGTAAAATGATATTGGGGCTGGGAGTAAGTTTGGGCCCCCTAGTGGCTTGTTCTGGAACGACAGGAGCATTTCATAAAATCTTTGAAGGAGGATTACTGAAAAAAACGGTGGATCGTCCGGATGGAGGCACCTCAAGTGACGCTTGACATAATCAAATGATATTTATGCAAATCAGCATCGAATTTGTATAAGAAATGAGAATATTGACATATGTAATTGAGAACGTGAGGAGCATGGACAGATTGGACATCCAGGTAATACGATACGCCACAAAACAATTACTCAAGCAACTGGATATGATTTTGGAAACGGTCAGACGTTTCAGCTAGTATCCACTAGCTTTCGTCAGTAACACTAAGAGACCAGAGGAGAAATGCAGATTTATAAGCACGAATTATTGATTGATATGCAAATAAGTGAAGACAATTTCTTGGAAGTCCAAAAGGAAACAAAAGTTAGGCAAGTCAAAACAAGATTATGCAAATTGGTCAAGAAGCAGAACAGGAGCTTAAGTGTTGTCTGTCATTGGGCCATCGATGATATTTGGTAACTGTATAATGGCTACGATTTGTTGATATTTTCTCTTCAGTAGCCTTGATTTTCATTGAAGTATTTCACTTAATGAGTTTAACTGTGATTGTTTTGTTTAAGGAGAAGGACCTGTACAAGCCTTTGTTTTTTGTGCGAAATAAATAAATAGTTATATTTTCTTCTCATAGGATCACTTACCATCACCATCGTCATCGTCGTCACACTCGTCCCCAGAGCCATCACCGTCCGTGTCAGTCTGGTCCTCATTGGTCACGAGTGGGCACGTGTCACATACGTCACCATAACCGTCACCATCGGTGTCCTCTTGGTCCCAGTTTGGAACAAATATGCAATTGTCCTGTGGAATTTGAAACCATTCGTTTATAAAATACATAGTTGTTCTATGCTTGAAGCATATTAATTACTGAATAGCAAAGTTCTTTGATCACAACCATTTATTTTTTACGCGCCGACGTTTCGATGACCGTCTGTCATCTTCATCAGGGCAATTCTGACTAGGTTATAACTGTGAACTGACGCTAGATGTTACTTGATGCATAGTTCACTAATTGTGCTACATAATTCACAATGCACCGTTACTTGGTTCACAGTGCACTTACGTCAGTTTTCACGGTTAATAATGCATTTCCGAACGTAGTGCAATTGTGACATACATAGGCATTGTTACATCATAGGGACATATGCGGTTCCAAATGTAAAGTGTTTCTATATATAATCTAAAATTTTTTAACTAACAACACTGAGCTATCGCATTGCCCTGATGAAGATGACAGACGGTCATCGAAACGTCGGCTCGTGAAAAATGAATGGTTGTGATCAAAGAACTTTGCTATTCATTCGTTTACCAACCTGATGAAATTATTTACGCATACTAATTACTGCTTATGTAGACACAAGGGTCTGCCATTGGGAAGGGTGCACAATATGGCAGGAACATCAAAAAGACAAAGTACTCACAACAGAGTTTAGTCGCCCATCATTGTCATCATCTAGATCGCACACGTCTCCCATAGTATCACCATCATTGTCTTCCTGTCCACTGTTAGGCTGTAGTGGACAGTTATCCTGTGTGAGGGGGGGGGGTGATGTGTATAAATGACTTCATCAATATTGTAGTAAAACATCGTATATGATATCTACATGGTATCTACCACCTACCGATGTACATTTTGTTGCTAGAAATATCCCAAAATGCAGAAAATCACTCATAAGGAGATGTGTTCTAATCTGGCGTTTTAAGATAAACATGCACAATTTTTCAGCTAAGAATGTACACAAATAGTGCTTATGACTGATGTTTACAAACTATCTGTGTTAGCATTCATATCATACGTTTCGTTTTCGCAATATGCCCGGCCAAGGCTCAAGTGTGGACATGTGACTCTAGCATATAAACTACAGTGCGATTCTTTCCTTTGCTTCTTTTGCTCTTTTGCATTGTCGATCATTGTTATTTCAGGCACACAAACTCTTGTGCATGTACATGTATAAGGAATGCATCACCTGCTTGCACCATCGGGTCAGGCAGGACACGGGTTCGTCAGGCCAGCCGTCCTGGTCCGTGTCAGGTCCGCACCGGTAACCGTCTCCACCGTACCCCGGCTTACACTGGGTTAGGCACAGAACAACATGCTCAACGTAATGGTTTATCATTACCGTGCAATATGTATATGTTATGTGGCAACAATCTACGTTTGGGACCGCATTTGTAACATTGCAGCAACGACAGCTAAATGTAGTACGGATCAGAACCAGTCACTGTTTGCCCGAAAAAGGTGACAGACGGTCACCGAAACGTTAGATATATCGTTTCGTTATATCTGTTTTTCGTTATATCCCACTGGTTTTTCAAAAGTTTTATATAAAGACCCTTCATATATGTTACTTAATACTACAGCTTATCTCTAGTGTAAAAGCGAATGAATACAAAAGACAGACTACCAAAGACGGATTGAAGAAGTACATTCGTTTTTGACAAACTTCGATACAAACTATTTTTCTTTACAGGCATCTAATGCAATTTATGGTGGCTATTTCAAATGCTTCAAGTAGGAAATGATGACTAAGAAATGACAGTAAATTTCGATATCAGACAGATTTCCTCATCCACAATATTTTTTTTCTTGTTTTGCAGTCCTGAGATTGCACTGAATCCCTTTAAAGCCATTGAGTTTCTTAAAATGCTACGACATGGCACAGAAAGTTTCGTATTGCCCCTGTTAGAATACATATCAAAGTGAGCATGATGACATTTTTGCACTGAGCCCGGAGGCTGAATTGCATGTTTCTTTACATCAGTGCCCACCTTTTAACAACTTTAAAATATCATTCTAGCTAGGAATGTATGCATAAAATTGAATTGCGATCTCTACAACATAAAAATATATACATGATAAAAGAGATAATACATTCATTGTTTACGTTTATAACTCATTTAGGAGTTTTACTATGTAGGGCAAGGGGCTCTTGGAGTACCGCTTCGTACGTGCTAGAATAGGGTCGAATTTAATTTTTTGCCTTGTCGACCTCCCTGTTACTTCGCCTCTTGTCTGGGGGAGCCAGTGATGGTAGAGAGTCGATTTGCAAAGCATTACTTACTTTGCATCTGAACTTGCCGTTCCCTAGAGACAGACAGGTGGCGTTGCTGCTACAGTTGTGCCTGCCGAGCTGACACAAGTCTTCCGGGATGCAGCCCAGATAGATGTCACTGATGTAACCTTTGACACAGTCTCCGCATCTGTAGCTTCCCTGGGGAAAGTATGATAATACTCTCTCTACCGGTGCAAATCCCGACTGCGTCATACCGAAGACTTTAACGGCATCCAATGCGGTTTTTAGGGCTTGAAACCCCGATGTTTCAGAACGAATGTTCTGGTCATTTATCTACATACTAAGTTGAAACCACACTATCCCAATGTATACCCTCATGGAGCAAAAATTCCCAACATTCTGACGGGAAATGGTTACTGGAAGGGCCCTGGACTGAATTTTAGGGTACCACCCAGAAAATAAAGGACTAATCTTGGGGCTTTGTTTTGTGTCTGCAGTTTTAAAAGCCCAAAGTATGAGATGCTGACTCATATGCACCAATGTGAAGCAGTATGTGTCAATATCACAAAGATTGCCTTATTCAGAATATTTCCAGTTTTGCTGCCCTGAAATCCCATTGGATGCTTTTGAAATACAACCCTATCTGCCTAGGTAAAATGAAATAAAATGAAATAAAATGAAATAAAATGAAATAAAATGAAATAAAATGAAATAAAATGAAATAAAATGAAATAAAATGAAATGAAATAAAATGAAATGAAATGAAATGAAATGAAATGAAATGAAATGAAATAAAATAAAATAAAATAAAATAAAATAAAATAAAATAAAATAAAACACACATCACTACCAGTGGACTAGCCTCTTGCTGTAGTAAGTGCACAGCCCGGAGATGCGCCAGAGATGGGCGCTTCCATATGTACCATCTGGTGCGAGGAGGACTTCAACTTAACTTTAACTATACTATGATACGTTTGCATGTGTGGTTGTGCGTGCGTGCATAAGGTCAGTAATTCGTGCAGGCGCAGGGGCCCCATTGATGATTGCATCCAAACCAACTGTCTTTTTCTTGATAAATGGAGTTTTCCAGCTGGGAGGGTTTTGTCTTTTTACTTTATTGAAAATGGCTTTTGGGCTTGTTCGAGCTGGCCAGTAGAAGTCTAGAAGTTGTTTTTAGTGCTCTACGGGTATTGGATACGTCATGGGTCACGGTGTGCCTGTATTAGTAACTGCATCTGATGATTTTTTGCGACTCCTAGCCTAATGGTACACTTTTGTGTGCAGTTTGCAAAAATTCTAGGAATGGTACAGGGATTTTATCCACAGGCATGGGATATCGACAGGAATGTCTCCCAGATCTGGAATTGTGCTGACACACATCTATGCCCACAGTCCTACTTAGTGAAACCTTTCTGCAGGGATTACCTTCTTTCCGAGGCTCATTCGCTACACTCAGGGGAGATGAACTGCACTGTATCTCAACATCACATCCCATATACACATATTTGCATCATCAGTTGTCCATCTTAACCATACAAGACATACCAGAGTGTTGACACACTCCGCATGCTGATGACATCCCCCGTTGTCCACAGCACACTCGTCCATGTCTTCACAAACCTGTAGCGGACAACAGGACACGCCGATGCATGTGGACTTGAGAAACATGGGCACGGCAGGTGGTCATAATAGACAAGATTTTTAATACTATAGTCAATAGAAGTTCAGTAAGATAATTCTTTCAATCAGTGACTATTAAATCCTAAGGTACATACCTCCGAATTTTCGACGACTAGTCAGTTCGTCTTGGTCACGGAATAATCCTAGTCTCGCAAGATAACGCGAGACTAGGACGAGACTTGCGTGGATCTTCTGCCCCCCTCTGCCTCCTTGCGGAGTAGAGGTAGGTAGGGCTTAGGCAGCTCCCAGCCTTC